TCTTTTCTTTAGTAAAAAAGACGTAGTTTTCGCGACGGTTCCCTTTCAGGAACACTGTCTTTTTCACTTTCCGCTAAAGAACGATCTTGGAAGTTATTCAGTACATACCGAGCTTTATCCAGTACAGATTAAGTTTGAGCAGTCAGAGATTAAGTTTTAAAGAAGACTCAACTTCCGAACACGCCTTGGTGAAATTTGGTGCTGTTCTCATAATGTCGCGTTTATCTTAATCAAAAAGCAAAGAATAACGTCCGGAGCCCTTCTAAGTTCCATTTTCTACAGGATTCAAAAAGAAATTGCTAATCATTCCGTAGCTTTGACGGAATTCTCGCGCATGACCACCTGGCGCTGAATTCTTCTTTTTTGCGACGGTTTTTTCGACTTCCTTTCCTGGTAAGCAAGAAGAGCAGAAATTGATGACTGCCAATCAGTTTCATCGAGCAGAAATGAAATGCAACGAAGAAACACGGGGTGGCTGTATCATTTGGAGACGAGGAAAAGCGACCCTTTCTGGAAAAATTGGATAAAATTTTTTCGCATTTTCAACCTGGAATTTTGTGTTGATTTTCGAATTCGCGACCAAATTTGACACAGTTTTCCTGTTGGACATTTTTCCAGAAACTTTGTGGAATTCGAGATTTTGAACAATTTCTAGGTGGCTGTATCATTAGGAGGCGCACTGAAGTACTTCGTGTTCCTCCTCGTCGTAGCTGATGTTGGTGCGTAGGCGACGAAGATTGTCAAAGCAGGAGTTGAACCACATCTTCTCAATCTCAAACGTCCGATTCGGGTCGTAAGGCTTTCGTACGAATCGATGTTTATGGCCAAGTGCGTGTTGACGAGGACACCCACACCGCCAACGCCTCTGCTGTCGCATGTTCCAAGGAACAGTTCTTCTCCAGTATCGAAAACGGCGTGTAGCGGGCGGTGCCTTCTCGTCTCGGTCAGTCCGATGACGTCGTACTTGATCTTCCTGGCCTGCATCATCAGATCTTCGATGTGAGCTTCGGATGCAAGCGTTCGTGCGTTGAAAGTACAGATCGCCATCTTAGTCCTTCTTCGTTTAGGCAGCCTGAGATTCTAGCAGCCTCTCCCGAGCGGTCCTACCCAACGCTGCCGTATTGGGGGCTCCCTCAGGTTCAGGGGAATGAGGCCCATCCATATTGCTGTTTTCGGCATATTGAAGGCACACGAGTAGCTTGCCAGGCTCTGTCGTGTGGGCTAGGATAGACCTCCAGGTAGTTAGCCACGCTATCCTGGAGCGGAACAAGGGGCTTATTTTTGGAGGCGGCCCCGAATCGCCTCCCATGTACTTCCCAGTCACTTGAATGCAAGCTTTTGGCTGTGCCGACATGCAGGATACCAACCGCACACACACAGAGCGCACCACACACGCAAGCATGCATGGATAGGGTATGGGCGCACGCATAGTCGGTCGTCCGACAGCAACGATCGCAACTGTCTGACTGTCTAACTGCATCTAATCGTCGAATACTCAGGCAAGTCCGACGATCGATACGCATCCAATGCTGTGCGACAGTTACGATCGTTGCTGTCGTCCGACCGACTATGCGTGCGCCCTATGGGGACAGCTGGTATGAATGACACAGCACTACAGAAACAGGGAGTCCATCCCCTGAATCCACCTGCGTCTCAGGGCAAGTACATGGTGGCTTTTGGTCCGCGATTTACCCCCTATCCGCCACCTGGGGTCGCGCCACGTAGCCTCGCCACCAACCGGCTCGAGATCTTTCAGTGAGAGAGGACCCTCAGTGAAAGAGATCCGTGGAAGGAGAGGGAGAATACATGTTAGTAAAAATATTGACGGTTGTTTTGTTGCGAATTATCATTTGTTCTTCCCATTTTATACCATTCCGCCAAAAAGGATATATCGCGTGAAATCTATGTCGCGTTGCTGAGTTCAAGTAGTCCGTCGATCCGCTTTATCCTGCCTAAGAGATCCAGCGGATTCGCAGGAAGGAACGTAAAGATTTGCTTCTGGAGGCTCGTCGACCTGAGAGTAAGGAAGGAAACAGTTAGGTGTGGTTCACTAGGACAGAAAGCGACTTTTTCGCGTTTCGCAGCGCGAAACATTGTTCGTTGCGGGAATCTCGGGTCCACTGATGATTCGCTGCGGGAACCTCGGGTCCACTGATGATCAGCGGTGGACCTGAGCCCGCAGCGGAAAATGTTTCGCGCTGCGAAACGCGAAAAAGTCGCTTTCTGTCCTAGTGAACCACACCCTGAAAAGATTCGAAGGATTTCATTCCGAGGACGTTTTCGGCTATTCAACGACTAAACGACTCTTCTGAACAGACAAGTTCACTCGTTACGGAGGGACCGCGAAGTCGCCCAATCTCTGAATAGTCGAATCTCGCAAAACGTGAGCTGCTTTGCATGCTCTAACATGTACGAGCTCAAGCCGGGCTCCAGCAGCTTGGCCGTCGTGCGATTAATCACCGTTTGCGGGCTAGGCGGCGTCTTGGCGGGAGATTTGACTTGGCGTCGCTGACC